TTTCAGGAAGCTGTAGAGAGTGATAAGGTCTCCCCTGAGCCTCCTTTTCTCCAGGCTAAACAACCCCAGCTCCCTCAGCTACTCCTCAGAGGACATTCCCTACGGACCCTTCACCAGCTTCATTGTCCTGCTCTGTGCCCACTCCAGCACCTTCCTGAATTGAGTGGCCCACAACTGGACCCTGTATTTAAGGTGCAGTCTCACCAGTGCCATGTATGGTCTATGATCACTGTCCTGGTCCTACTGACCCCACAATTCCTAATGCAGGCCAGGATGCCAATGGTCTTCTTGGCCACCTAGGCACACACTGGCTCATGTTCAACCAGCTGTCACCCAGCACCCCAAGGGACTTTTCTGCTGGGCAGCTTTCCAGCCACTCTGCTCCCAGTCTGTAATTGGAGCATATTTTGTCTTTGTCAGGTGGACCATTCTGATCTTGGAGTCCAATCGAAAGCTTCCTCCCCCTGGAAACTGAGTTGTTGCTTCTCTACACATGACACTGAGCCTGCAATTCCTGAGAACCCCCAGGCAGCCAAGAAGCACTTTTTTCTGCTTTTGAAGTTTCTGTGATACTATTAAGCAGCACATTGACTGGCGTAGAGAAGATAGGATTCACCCTGAATGAGACAGAATTTGACAACAAAGTTGCAAAAAGTGTTAGTTCATTGGTTCAACTTAGCAGACATCACCAGTTTGTTTGTGAGACAGAAAAGCAAGTGCTGGGGGTAGCTGGGAAAGAGTGGGAGAGGAATCTGACCCTGCAATCTGGAAAGATCACTGCATACAAAGGCTTTCAGCTCCAAACCTACTGACAATGATGCAAAAGAGACAACCTGGTTCTACCCACAGTGCCAGCAGAAGTATGCTGACATCACATTTGGTATGCTTAAGTCTGTATGTTCTCATCAGGTGCTTTTCAATCACGCCTCAAGGGTAACTAAAACAATCAGAAAACTGATTCCATTTTATCAGGAAGGAAAGAAACCAAACAGTTATGAAAATTGCCGTTTAGGTGCAAAGATCCTTCTGTTAGTAATTGAGCACGATTTTAATTGGAAAATATATTTGAATGTAGAAGATGTTCAGTAAATAGAGAATTAACAAATTATGACCATTGACACTGAGCAAGAAGGAATTTACTCAGCTTGATCTTCAGGTTAGATGGGTAGTGTAAACTTGTCAACAAGAATGTGAAGTACATACTTAATTTGGAATCTGATCACATATGACAGACAGCAGATAAGCATAGAACTTCAGCTGTCATTTTATAGTATAACCATACACAAAATGTTGTTCTTTTTCAAATACAAATTAATAAGGCCATTTGCTGAATCTCTGTTAACTTTACTCCCTGAGAAAGTCTCAGAAATTTTCAGAAACCACCTCCTTGGTGTGTATTTAATCAATTTAAATAAATAAATAGTGCATGCAGAATATTTATGTACGTGTGTTTGCATATATATATATATGAAAACAATAGAACATAATTTTCTACCATGCAACTATTTCTGAATGCTTTGCCTAATCTAAATAGGGTTAAGAAGCAGCAATATGCACATTTTCCATTCAAAAGCTTGAAGTGAAATAACTCAGTTCAGACATTCAGTTTCATAATATTTGGTGGTGGGGTTAATTATAGGTTTATATTTTAAATATTTTCACACTTGAAAATGTTATTTTGTCTCAAAAATATAAAACTCAAAACTAAAACAACCAAAACCCTTAAACCACACACCACTCATTTGAAATGCTTGTGTTTGTTTTCCACATAGGCAATAAACACATTGTTAACAGAGAGGGCAAAAAGTCTTTGGATGACTTGGTGTTTACATTTTGGATGGAGAGGAAAACATTGTGAGAAACCATTAACTTAAATTGTCAGAAACACAAAAGATATTTTTGAGTAGGAAGAAGGTGTCGGCATAAAAACGCATAGGCAGAACCAAGAGCTCTGCCATGGAAATCCAGAGAAGCAAACCTTCAATGCTGCTCTTCCACATGTGTAACACAGGTAATGGGAAATTTGTAGGAGACTTCTGCAATCTGCTGCACAGTTAACAGTATACGTGTTAATATATGTGCTTTCTTTAGTACATATTATTGGTTTTATATGTAAAGAATACTGATGTCTAACAGACTGAAAAAAATAAATCTACTGGGAAAATTCTGAGCAGCTGAAGCACCTGCCAAGAACTTTCTTTATATATTTTTTGAGATATGCAGTATTTCATAGTGCAATTTATAACTGTTAATTAAACATAAGTCACTGTACTAGTACAGTTCTGTCAATGAAATTTTGAAAATTCCGTGCAAAGCAAAGCATATTTTCTAATATTATCTGGAATCCCTTCTTGCACTTTTGCCCGGAATTAGAATTATCCCTCTTTTGGATTAAAGATGCATTGGTGGATTAGTCTATCACTGATGACAACATAATATATCCTTTCCAGAGGCTTAAACTGAAAAGACGTCTGTTAACTACAGACTGTATTAAAACAACAGGGGAAAAAAAAAAGGAAAAAAGAAAAAAAGGGCATTGGACATGAGACTGTATTTTAACATTTAAATATCAGCATGTGGGAGGTCAAAGTTTGTGAAACATAACCTCAGGTTCAGTGCCATGTATCAATCTTACTCTTTCCACAGACTGTATCACCTGTAAAACTAGTAAGGCATGGGACTGATCCCTGCAAGGATTAGCCATGAGTACTACTTCTAGCTTTAGCCACCTGAGCAAGCTCAGGAATACCAGCCACACAGGCAATTTAAATGAAAAATAAATTGGTTTTAATTTTTCTACTTGATGGTCAGATATGTACACATATTTTGAAAAATTTTGCTTCTTTATTTGAATATTTTTTTGGCCAGTTAAAGAATACTTAAATTTAGCATTTCCAAAGCAACAAAGCAGATGAGCTGCTTCTGAACTGAACTAATTTCTATTTCTGAAACTTTGTTTCAGATGACATGAAGTTGATTCACCACTTTAGCATTCTAAAGGAGATGTTATATTATTCTGTATTTTAAGAGACATGCCAGCAGTTTCCCATGGAACAGTATCTTCCTTCAAAGTTTTTCTAGGTGTAAAACCACATAGTACATAAAACATCTTTCCATGTGAACATCCTGAAATATTTCACATGCCAGTAATCGTACAATGACACCTTCTAGAACACACCTGTTTAATATTTAAGTCAGATTCTGGAAAGCTAACTAAAAAAAATATTTCAATTACTCTAATAAATAGATAATGTGCTGTACTTTCTGGTGAACTTAAACACCTAATTACATTCTTTTTCAATTATATGCCAGAAAAAAGTAGATGAGTTGTTAGCATTCAATTTCAATGTAAGATGCTGGGGTCTGTTTTTTGTTTAAGAAAAGGTCAGTCCTTCACTTTGGGAAAGTCAGTAAAATCATTGGCTAAAAAAAAGTAGCTCAATATGGGTGTAGAATCCATCTAAGAAATGAGCTTTCTACAACACTCGCCTGTTAGTGGCACTGAGAAGATGGGGATTAGACATTTTTCTGGTGTTTTATTTAACAAGAGATCTGGATGTCATCACTAATGTTACTTGCTAAATTGAATCTTCAAAGAACAGTGTAGAATATGTGAAGTGTTTGTGTGTAAGCTCACAGGCTGTGTGCTCCATCCTTTAAAAGGAAACCATTGTGAAAGGGGAGGGTCCTGAGCACAAAGAAGGGAAGTGCTGCTTTTCTGGCAAATGGCAGTAGCAGCAACAAAACTCTAATAAGAGCCACATGCTTCAATACGCAGTAAATAATACCCGTACACAGAAATAAAAGGTTGGAGGATGGTGGGAAAGGACTTTGAGTTCTGCAGTCAAAGAAATTTAAAGGTACATCTAAGTAGTCTTACGAGAGATTGCTTTATAGTGAAGTATCAGTTACACACAGCCCTGGATCATAATTATCTGTGCATCCTCAGACTAGCAGAGCAGTTATAATGCAGTTCCGTGCTTCTCTGCAATTGATCTCTGTGACTGCATCATTTTCTTGACGTTTTACAACTTGCTGATTCAGTAATCACAGTTCAGCTGTCTTAATCACGCGGTAATTGAACCATAGAGGGAATGCCAATAATCAAGAAGATACCAAACCAATTAGATAGCAATGTTTTCAGTCAAGAAACAGCTAGCAGCAACTCAAATATGACTTTGTTTATTCTCCACTATCGATGCCTAGATTTCTTAAAAGGCAATTAAAAGGGTGGCAGTCCATTTTGGCCCAAATCCGCTATCTCCCTGCTCCTTTTATTATGCTCTAAAGAAGAAACAAAAGTGCAGATGCAGGCGGGGCCTGGCGCACGGCCGGAGGGGGAGCACGCCAGCCGTGCCGGGGAAGGCAGCGCCCGGCGGGGGAGCTGCCCGGCGCCGGGGGAGCGGAGCGGGAGCAGGAGCGGAGCCCGGGCCGGGACCCGCCCGGCCGGACCTGTCCGTGGTGCTGCAGCCGGGACCGCGCCGCCAGCGCCGCCGCCGAGGGGCCCCCGGTCCCTGCCTGCCCCCACCAACGCCCTGCAACAGCTGCTGCCGCTGCTGAGCCCCATTCACAGAAATTCAGCTTCTGGGGAGATTTTGGACCCCCTCAAGGCTGGGGGTACTAAACAAAATAAATTCCCCAAACCTCCTCGCAAAGCCCTGCCCAGGCTCTGAGCGTGCCTCTCCCCGGAGGTCTCTCGGCTGCCCGGAGCGTGGGGGAAGCCCCAGTCCAGAGCGCAACTTTCCTGCAGGGAGCCGGGCTCCAGCCCCTCGGAGCCCCCTCGAAGGAAGAGGGGACCTGGAGCCCTCCTCGCCTGCAAAGCTGTGGAGAAGCCAGGCAGGAGAGAGAGGCTGGGAGCTCCCTCGCCTCGCCTTCCTCATTGCCGGCTTCTGGTACCGGGGAAACCCCGGGGGCGGAGGGAAGAGGGAGCTCCCACCGTACGCGCAATGCCCCCCGTGCATCCCCTGCTCCGGGAGTCCGGAGCCCCAGCCCGCACTCACGTGTGCCGTCAAACCGGGTGGCGATGGTGTCGAGGAAGGTGTTCTGGGGTGCCAGTAATCCCTTCATAACAGGCATTTTTCCAGCGCGGTGCGAGGTTCCCCATCAAAGTTTGTCTACGAGGGTGGCTCGAGAAGAAAGTGCAGAGGGCGCCCGGGGGAAGGTAGCGAGGGAGGAGGCGGAGGGATAGGGAGGAGAAGGAGGATGGGGATGCCGCCGCGCCGCCTCCGGCGCCGGGAGCCCCCCGCCCGTCAGCCCCGGCCCCGCAGAGCGCTCCCGCTCCCGGGAGCCGCGCAGAGGTGCGGAGCCGCGCAGAGGTGCGGAGCCGCGCCCCCGGCCGGCAGAGCCCGCGCCCCCTCCCCGCACCCCTCCCGAGGCGAGGGGGAGGGGGGCCTTGGAGAGCCGCCGTGAACAAGGACGGGCTGGAGGAGAGCGGGGAGCTGGGGAAGAGCCACCTTTATCCACCTGTAGCGGAGCCGGGTGGGGCGGGGCAGCGCAGGGACCGGCGGCCCCCGGGGGCTACCGAGCCTCCTCCGCCCCCGGCAGCCTCAGGCACACTTCGGCTCCAGCACCTGAGAAAGGTCCCAGGCATCTCAGCTCACAGTTTTATGAGTAACAATATCACAACAAAAGCACGGGCTTACTTTGCTGCAAGGAGAAGGAACACCCTTGGTAGATAGGAAATGCCTCTGGAGGTGCTCATTGGAGAGTGAGACTGGGACATGGATAATTCTCCACCAGTTGTGTGGCCTCAGACATCATCTGCATGGTTAGGTTATTTCATTTATTTAAGGAACGATATTTCTGTGATTGTTAGTACATCCTATAACATTCTTTCAACATTCTTCCTGGGAAAATTCCTGATTTTTTTTTTTCCTACCAGCCAAACAGAGTCAATACATATCCTAGCCCAGAAGATCTATTGTGTAAATTCCAATAAATGAATATGAAACAATAGTAATAAAGAGGTGGCATTCCATGTTGAGATGAGTAATCTGCTCAGACTGGTACCATGGCTCTTTAAATGCTGCCAGATAACTCTCGGTAGTACAGTCATTTCACTTACTGTAGCAGCAATGGCAAAACTGCCCCATGTTCTTTCAGGATTAAAAGACCCTAGAGAAATGAAGTGGGAGTACACTCCCTAATCTACAAAGCCGCTGTGCAGAGGAAGCCTGTTGGGTTCTTGCTATTTTACAGTACTGCTATTTGTATTTTTTGCTATTCTTGTTTATTTATGATTCTCTCTTTCTCCAGATGGTTAGAAGACTTTGATTCCCACTTTTTAGCATAAGCAGCACAGAGAGGTTACAAAAGAGAAAAAATGGTCTTTCTTTACAACAGATAATGAAACACAACCCCCCCCAGAACCTCAGAAAATGCTGAGACACAGGGTTTCTAGCACAACATAAAGCCATGGTAACCTCACCTTGGCTCTGGAGAATGCAGCAGTATTTTGCTGAGATCGTGAATCTGTCTAGTTGCCCTTGTACTAGAAGCCGTTCACAAACTAGTTGATATAGAACTGCCAGATCAGTTTTCAGAAGTAGCACATGAACTGAGAGACTGCCTGTACAGTACTTTGGAAGTCTTCAAGACCTCAAAGTACTATCAGTTTCTCACTACCTGATAATTAATCTTCAAATTCATGTCAGCCTTGTCCTTTAAGTATATAAGCAGCAGCCTTGTCCTTAAAGTAAACAATTTTTAATACCAGAAATTTTTAAGTTTCATTATTATTCTCATATCTTCCAGTTCAATATAAGCAGAGTCACAAAATTAATTTCTAATTTTAGTTTTCCATTTAGCTTTTCTGGCTACTTGGGTTTGATGGTACATGTACTCAGTAGTGAAATAAAGAAAATCCTGTTTCAATACCTGGAAAAATTAAAAGCGTGATCAGGTTTTCTCTTCTGCCAAAGTGCTCAGCAACAGAGGTTGTTAAGATAAATCCAAAGGTTTGAAACCTGACAAAGAACTTGCCTATGTTGTAGCCTGTGGTGCTGCAATTGTGTTTCAGTTTGCATTTTTTTCCATGACCTGCCCTAACACCATTTAAGTAGGGATGCAGTGAAAGAGAAAAGAATGCATTCTTAGTCCCAATACAGGCAGCCAGGAGAAGAAAACCCATATATACATTGAAACATATAAATGTATTTCTCAATTATGGTCATCACAAAAGGGGAGACAAGTTGTTGCCTGATAAGTCTGTAAGTCCATAAATGGCCACACCAAGTCTGAGCTCTAATCATAGCCTTTTGAGGGCTTTAGGACATAACAGCTTCAGTAAGTTTAGAGCATTATTGAGTGCTCCAGGAAACTTCTTAATTATAAGACAAAAATTGTTTCAATAAAGCCTTAGGAATTCACTTAGACAAAGAATGCCAAACAGTTATGCAAACACACAGCTCAGAAAGGATGGATAAGTGCCAGAGGAGTTACATGGCATATTCCATGTCGATAGGGGTGAACACAAATTGGTTATTGAAATTCACCACTAGCCAGGGGGATGTGATAGCAATGGCAGTGAAAGCTTTACCAACAAGGAAATTCTGATGCACAAGAGGGAAGGATACCAAATGCTGCTGAAAGCCTCTTCATCTCTGAGGAAAGAGGAAGTTTGCAATTCTTCACAAGTACCCACAATCATACCATACTATTATAAATTTCTTGTAGAAATGGCTACATACTATGAACAATTAATAACAACTAAGCTCCTAAAATTTTTGTGTTTGTGTTCTGTGTATCTAAAAGCAACCACCCAAATGCTTTGGAGGTTGAGCTAATAAAATATATTACAAAAATAATGTACATTAAAAGGCTCAAACTACAAAAGATGAGCTATTGAAGTGCAGTATCCCATTTTCCACTTGTTTTTAGTATATCCTAGAGACCTTTACTAATAAGAGTAATCTTCCTTAATACAAAGTGGTACTTCAGAGAGCTTACTGCAAAGCACAGTAAACTCTTAGAGTTGCTCAAAGCAGACAAATTTAACAGGCTGAAATTTGGTAAGCAAAGAAGAAATAGTTAAGAAAAGCAGACAAGAGTTGAGCATATGTAAAAGACAGGTAAAAGGAGGAGCTGAAAGTTTGCAGTCAAGTCCTGGAAAATTGTTTTTAAGATTTAAATGAAAAGCAAAGGGTCTCTGAATAGACACACACACACACACACACACACACATATATATGTATATATATATATCAATGTTTGACCAAAAATTAAATAAAAACCCTGGTGATTTTTTGTCTTGTTTCAAGAAACCAGCTTTCAATTTTGCTGTATCAATTTCTAATATCTGGAATATCTGGACATAGTTCTTATTATAATACCTATTTTTGCTGGCAAGGACAGGTAAGCAAGAGTTGGAATCTAACTTTGACATTTTGTATATAAGTCTATATCCAATTTACATAAATAACCCACTCCCCCTGTTCTTTTATTTTTCACTGTGGAGCATTTTGCTGAATTCAAAAGCATAAATATATGTAAAAGTGTATGGATAAGGGTTACAGATAAACAGTACCAAAGCTGAGAATTTAAGTACTGATAGCACTGCTGCTAGTCTTCAGGACGCCATTAGCATCCAGATATTGCAAGTGAAGTTTACTCATGGGCTTAGAGTTTAGACTAGAAGGACTATCTAAGAAAATAAGGTTTGCCACTTCAAATTACTCAACAGTATATAAAAAAATCTCAGCCTACTTATCCACAGCTACTTGCACTCAACATAGCACATTACATTGTGAGACATGGTATAATCTGTATTATTGCTTCTTACCCAGAAAAACTCTGCATGGGCAGAGTTTTGCACAAACTATAAGTAGGGGAAGCCGAGAAATTAAGTACTGATAGCACTGTCTTCAGGACACCATTAACATCCAGACATTGCAAGTGAAGTTTACTCATGGGCTTAGAGTTTAGACTAGAAGGACTATCTAAGAAAATAAGGTTTGCCACTTCAAATTACTCAACAGTATATAAAAAAATGTCAGCCTACTTATCCACAGCTACTTTCACTCAACATAGCACATCACATTGTGAGACATGGCATAATCTATATTATTGCTTGTTACCCAGAAAAACTCTGCATGGGCAGAGTTTTGCACAAAATATAAGTAGGGAGCAGCATGTTGTAGCATTTTTGCTTATAACTTTTCTTCATTTATGATTTAACCAACAGAACTTTTCCCAAATATTTTTATTAATGTTCTACAGTATCATGAATTACCTCATGAAGCAAGAAGTCAGGAGTTGCTTCCCTGGCATAACCATTTGACCTCAACTTACCTGCTACAATTATGCAAATGAAAGGAGATAGTGAAAATCAAATTAACAATGACTGCCCGTAGCTTGCTTTTGTGCTTGAAATTGCCACCCACTTATTTGTTTGTTAACATTGGCATCCAGTGGAAAAAAAAGAAATTATGAAAAAGCCTGAAAATGGCAAAGAATGGCAACCTGCTGTTCATATGCAATGAACAGGCTAATTTAGTCTGAAGTAGTGCATGTTAAGAATATTATCCTGATAAATGGCTGCTGTACTTGAAGAAATGCTGGCCCCTGCTTTTTGTTGTGCATAAGCCAATAAGAGAACTTTTTGAGAATAGAGCTGCATGATTAAAACTCTGACAAACAAGGGACAGTTTGGGTTGAAGTTTAAATGCAAAGCCAGCACCTCTGGCTCAGGAGGAGACTGAGTTCCTACAAACCGGATGAAGTTGCAAGCAAAGAGAAGAATCCACACTTGATGGTACTTTGAATGAAGTTAAAGATTTAAGCCTCACTTTTCCTCTGCTCCTGGCTGACACCAGGAAACATTTTGGCAAAAGCTACTTTTCAGTACAGGTGTGCGTTAAAGGATGCAAACCTGATGTTCAGAGACATGACATTCACTAATGTACTGAAAAAACACTGTGGTAGATGCACAAGGTTCTATTATACTAATATCATCATCATATTAGGCTGCAATTTATGCTTTTGTTTTCTTTTGAAATATCTAAGTAATCATGGATAAGGTTTAATTCCATTATGCATGTTGCTCAACTAAGTAGATTAATGATTTATACAATATTGAT